CCCTATTCTTTTGCGTCCTGTCCCGAAAAGTCTCCCTCCTGGTTCTCCATTTGGAGTTTTCCCCCTTCCTACCCAGTCCACCATGTCTCCTATGTCTTCTTTTCCATCTGCCCCCACTCTTTCTTCCCAACCCTCCTCCCAGTCTCTTGATCCTCCATGCCGCCTGTCTGTCCTGGTTGATGTCCATCACCCTCCCAGCAATCTTCGTGTTGATTGCTCCCGTTCCTCTTCTCCTGCTGAGACCATTGAGTCTGTTGCCTGGTACGTTACTGGAACGCCTGTCTCTTCGAGTCAGAAACGTAAGCCTGGCTCCTCTCCTTCTTCCTCCCCAGCGGGTAAGAAGGCATCACTTTCTTCCTCGCCCCCTCCCTCTGACTCTATCACTACGTCCCCTCCCATATCAGTGGTCGGGCCCCCTGTCCCATATGGAGGTTTCTTTCGCCCCCGATTCCCTCTCGGTTGCTGCCCTTGCTGAGGTGCATTCCCTGATTTCTAACCCCCCTCCTGCTGTCCTTGACTGCCCCTCTCGGTTGTCTCCTCCTCCTCCTCCTCTGGGCCCCGTCAGTCCGCCTCTGGTCGGTCCTCCTGCTCCTTTCCTTCCATCCTTACTAAGTTTACCCAAGCCCCCCTAACCCAGATTTTGCTGACCCTGCTCCTGATCTTGAGATTCTTTAATATATTGTGTTCTTCTTTACCTTTGTTTCTTCATTGTTCTCTGTTACTGCCCTTTCTCTTTGGTAATGTCTATTCTTCAATGGAATATTCGTGGATTTTATGCCAACTTCCATGAACTCCAACTTCGAATTACACAGTTTTCTCCGCTTTGTGTTTGTCTCCAGGAACCAATGCTTGGTGCTCGTTCTGGTCACTTTCTTGTTTATTCGTTTCTTCCCCCCCCCCTCCCCCCAGCAACAGCTGTGGCCCATAACTCTACTGCTCTCTTGATTCATTCTGAAATTCCCTTCGTCCCCTACTTCTTCCGTCACCTATTTATTGTTCTGCTGCCCGTGTTTTTGTGAGTAAATGGTCTATACAGTCTGTTCCATTTATCTCTCCCTAAATGTCCTCCTTTCTCTTCCTGATCTTAAGCACCTCCTGGACTCCTTTCCAGAGCTGGTGTTCCTTTCGGGTGATTTCATCTGTCGACATACCCTCTGGGATGATGTTCTGACAAACACCCGAGACTGACTTCTCGAACCGTTCGTCCTTGCTTCTTCTCTATCTCTTCTGAAATCTGGTGAGTCCACTCATGTGGACTCTCGGACTTGCACCCTTTCCTGTCTTGATCTTTCTCTCTGCTCGTTGTCCCTTTACTTAGATTTCACGTGGCTGGTTCTTGATGACCTCCATAACGCTGATCATTTCCCCATCCTCGTTTCCTTTTTCTCTTTCCGGCCTCCCGTCTCCTTCGCTAGGTGGCAGTTTGCCAAAAGTGACTGGAACCTATTCACCCTCCGTGCTACTCTCTTTGACCTCTCCTCTCTCCCTCTTCCTCGCGCCCTCCTCCTTTTTCATGACACCGTCTTCGACGCTGCCCTGCGCTCTATTCCTCGCTCTACCTCCCGAGGCACGTGGAAGTGCGTTCCCTGGTGGAATGCGGATTGTGCTCGGGCTGTCCACTGTAAGCGTGCAACCTGGAAGAAACACAGATGCCGGCAGACGGCTGATTCTTTTGTTTTGTTTCGGAATGCTAGTGCGGTGGCCCGTAGGACTCAAAGACTCACAAGTTGAGTCTTTGAGCGCATGGTAAATGTTCATCTGATGTGGTTCTTGGAACACCATCACCACCTCTCTCCTTCTCAATTTGGTTTTTGCAAATGCCGCAGCACGACGGATGTCCTTGTGAATTTGGAGTTCTATCTTCGTACTGCTTTTTCTGCGAAGACTTCCGTTGTTGTTGTCTTTTTTGACCTTGAAAAGGCTTATGACACCACTTGGAGATACCATATTCTGTCACAACTTCGTTCTTTTGGCCTTCGTGGTAATATCCTTCTCTTTCTCCTAAGCTTCCTCTCTCGTCGTTTCTTTAGAGTCAGGCTTGGTGCCACTCTTTCTGCCTCTTTTTGGCAGTACGAAGGTGTACCCCAAGGTAATGTTCTGGGCACTCCTTTTTTCTGGTTGCCCTCAATGGTCTTCTTTCTTCCCTCCCTTCTGGCATCTCCGCTCTTTATGTTGACGATGTTACTCTTTACTATTGAGGTGATGATTCGCCTCTCCTTCAACGACGGCTTCAACTTGCGATTGATGCCGTGCCATCATGGGCCACCAATCATGGCCTCAAGTTCTCTACAACAATGACTTGTGCTATGACTTTTACTCAGAAGCGGGTCGTTCTTCGTCCCTCTTTGCCACTTTATGGTCATCCCCTTGTGTACAAAGATTCCGTAAAGCTTTTGGGTTTATTCTTTTACACTCGTTTGTCCTGGTCGCCCCATATCTCTCACCTCGAGTTGAATGCTCTAAGCCCTTTAACCTCCATATGGTTTTGTCCCATACTTCTTGGGGTGCAGATAGGCGCACACTCCTCTATTTGCACTCCTCTCTCATCCTGTCTAAACTCGATTATGGCTGCCCTGCATACTCTTCAGCTTCTCCTTTTACTCTTCGCCGTCTTGATCCTTTGCACCATACTGGGTTGCATCTCAGCTCTGGTGTCTTTAGTTCCACTCCTACCCTCACCTTGTATGCTGACACTGGCTTCTTCTCTCTCCAGGACCGCCGTGATCGCTACTGTCTTCGCTATCTTACGCGGTCCTTACAGCATCCTCAATCTCGCCTCTGTCGTGCTTTGACTTTTACCTCTACTGTGGTTCCTGTTCCTCTTCACCACCTTCCTCTTTCTGTCCATTTGTCTCGCTTACAAGATTCTCTTCCGGTACGTCTTACCAATATTTCTCCTCGTATTGTTCCGTCCTTGCCCCAGTGGAGGCTCCCCATTCCCAAATATTGTACTTCCCTAACCTACATCGCTAAAACTTTTACCCCTCCTACGGTCCTGAAGCGCCTTTTCCTTGAACAATTTTCTTCTCACTCCCACTCCGTTTCCATCTTTATCGATGGGTCTAAGTCTGCTGATGGTGTGGACTACTCTGTTGTTTTTCCTGATCATACTTATATGTATCGCCTCCCTCCGGAAGCTAGCATCTCCACAGCAGAACTTTATGCTATTCTCTATGCTCTTCGTCTCTTGCTTTCTCACTGTCAATCCTACTTTGTTATGGTAGTTGACTCTCGTAGTGCCCTCATGGCTTTGGGGTCCTTTAATCCGGTTCACCCAGTGGTCATTGAGAATCAACATTGGCTGCTTCTTATCTCCAGTAAATTTAAGTTGGTAGAGTTTTGCTGGGTTCCCAGTCTTGTTGGCGTCTCTATAAATGAGTGTGCGGATGCTGCTGCTAAAGAAGCTATCTGCACTTGTCCCATCTCCCGTACAGGTATTCCGTATTCTGACTTTTATCCAGTTATTCATTCCTCCATCCTTGCCCGTTATTTGTAACAAACTGCGAACTCTTAAGGGTGTCCCTTTGGCCTTCCTCTTACCACCGTAACCGGCGGTGGGAAACGGCTCTAGCTAGGTTGCATATTGGCCATACATGTTTAACTCATGGTCACTTAATGGAGCGCCACGCTGCTCCTTATTGTCCAAATTGCATTGTTCCTCTGACAGTCATACACATTCTTGTTTAATGTCCTGACTTCCAGGACGAGTGTGTGTCTTGCTTTCCAACCAACCCTCACAGTCAATTGTCCCTCAATAGAATCCTTGGTGAATCGGATACTTTTGATATCGTTCGCATTATGCGCTTCTGTTCTCGTATTGACATCCTTGATAATATTTAGCGCCCTCTGATTATTCCACACATTTGGTGGTGCTACATAGCCTTCCCGGTTTGGTGCCTTCTTTTGATAATTACTTACAACAATGTTTAGTCTTAATAACGCATACGAGCGAAAAGAGACGTTCTTTGTAAGAGGACAGGTTTAAGCGTTAAGAGCTAAAGCCACGGAGCTCTCAACAATAGGTACTGGGATTTTTTAAGCTGAAGCCTGTACCACTGAGACTAAGACCCTAAAAAAGAACACTCAACACTAAAAGACAAATAGATATGATAGTGACATCAGAAGACGGAGATGGAAATGTGAAAAGCCAGGCTGTGATACTAATCTCTTGGATATGAAGGAAGCTACAGAAGCACAGCAGAGTGAGTCTCTACGACATTGTGTTTAACCCCTTTTTCTCTCTGGTATTTTTTATCTGTTCTCTAATTTTGGTAAAGCTGAGCGTAACTTTCATTAGGAATGGGTCTGTTGCTCATAAAGAAACTGCGAGCTAAAAGCTGTTATCCAGCATCAACTCATCAAGCCTGACTACACAAACTGATTCACTGAATGTGATTATTATTATATATATTTCATTAGGAATAAACTGTATTTAACGCTGGGTTTGTCAGGTTACGTAAAGCTTACGGGAGATGTTAAGAGCCTTGGGTGCCTTGCTTTCGAGGCTCAGCATTGCCACAGAAGAGTCAAATTCCGTCACTGAGCATCAGGTTCTTCCCATTCATCTACTCATATGTCCCAGTTGCAGTATCATGCTGTTTTGTTATCATTAGTTCTTGTCACTTCTTCCCTTACATTAAGGCACCTGTGCTTGTTCCCAGGAAGCTTGCTTGCACGGCGGCACTCTTCTACTTTATCATTCCTGCAACATTGGCCTGCAATTTTGGCAATATTGCCTTCTGCGTGAAAGTTTAGCTTATCATTTATTTAATCAATAATGTTCCATTTTTTCTGGCGCAGACTGTTCATAATTCTTTACATAATTACTCTATTAAGCAACTATAAGAAATAGAGCGTGTCTCAACTTGGGTTCCAAGATGTTCATGAAAACTTGTCACTTTCTCTCCTTAAGATAAAGAGTTCTTGATCTGATTTTTGGTGGTAGAGAACTTCCTCTTTATGTACTGATGTAGCACAGAACATGTTATTCCTTTACTCAGGTGGCACAGTACATACCTCAGCTGGTGCGCTCCAACCCCAACCACTGGGCGGTCTCCATCTGTACAGTGGACGGCCAGAGGTACTCTACTGGCGACACCAACGTCCCCTTCACCCTTCAGTCCTGCAGGTGGGTTCTGGCTCCTCACAATGAAGACTGCCTCTTCTGCGTGTGTGTGTGTGTGTGTGTGTGTGTGTGTGTGTGTGTGTGTGTGTGTGTGTGTGTGTGTGTGTGTGTGTGTGTGTGTGTGTGTGTGTGTGTGTGTGTGTGTGTGTGTGTGTGTGTGTGTGTGTGTTTGTGTGTGTGTGTGTGTGTGTGTGTACTCACCTAATTGTGCTTGCGGGGGTTGAGCTTTGGCTCTTTGGTCCCGCCTCTCAACTGTCAATCAACTGGTGTACAGATTCCTGAGCCTGCTGGGCTCTATTATATCTACATTTGAAACTGTATGGAGTCAGCCTCCACCACATCACTTCCTAGTGCATTCCATTTATTAACTACTCTGACACTGAAAAAATTCTTTCTAACGTGTGTGTGTGTGTGTGTGTGTGTGTGTGTGTGTGTGTGTGTGTGTGTGTGTGTGTGTGTGTGTGTGTGTGTGTGTGTGTGTGTGTGTGTGTGTGTGTGTGCGCGCGTGCGTGTGTGTGCGCGTGCGTGTGTGTGTGTGTGCGCGCGTGCGTGTGTCTACATTTAAACTGTGTATGGAGTCAGCCTCCACCACATCACTGCCTAATGCATTCCATCCGTTAACTACTCTGACACTGAAAAAGTTCCTTCTAACGTCTCTGTGGCTCATGTGAGTACTCAGTTTCCACCTGTGTCCCCTTGTTCGCGTCCCACCAGTGTTGAATAGTTTATCCTTGTTTACCCGGTCGATTCCTCTGAGGATTTTGTAGGTTGTGATCATGTCTCCCCTTACTCTTCTGTCTTCCAGTGTCGTAAGGTGCATTTCCCGCAGCCTTTCCTCGTAACTCATGCCTCTTAGTTCTGGGACTAGTCTAGTGGCATACCTTTGGACTTTTTCCAGCTTCGTCTTGTGCTTGACAAGGTACGGGCTCCATGCTGGGGCCGCATACTCCAGGATTGGTCTTACATATGTGGTGTACAAGATTCTGAATGATTCCTTACACAGGTTCCTGAACGCTGTTCTGATGTTAGCCAGCCTCGCATATGCCGCAGACGTTATTCTTTTTATGTGGGCTTCAGGAGACAGGTTTGGTGTGATATCAACTCCTAGATCTTTCTCTCTGTTCGTTTCATTAAGTACTTCATCTCCTATTCTGTATCCTGTGTTTGGCCTCCTATTTCCACCACCTAGTTTCATTACTTTGCATTTACTCGGGTTGAACTTCAACAGCTATTTGTTGGACCATTCACTCAGTCTGTCTAGGTCATCTTATAGCCTCCTACTATCATCCTCTGTTTCAATCCTCCTCATAATTTTTGCATCATCGGCAAACATTGAGAGAAACGATTCTATACCCTCTGGGAGATCACTTACATATATCAGAAACAGTATGGGGTCCAAGGACTGACCCCTGCGGTACTCCACTCGTAACGTCTCGCCAATCTGAGACCTCACCCCTCACACTGACTCGTTGTCTCCTGTTACTTAGGTATTCCTGTATCCAACGGAGTACCTTCCCTTTCACTCCAGCCTGCATCTCCAGTTTTTTCACTAGCCTCTTGTGTGGCACTGTGTCAAAGGCTTTCTGACAATCCAAAAATATGCAGTCTGCCCACCCTTCTCTTTCTTGCCTTATTTTTGTTGCCTGGTCGTAGAATTCAAGTAACCCTGTGAGGCAGGACCTGCCATCCCTGAATCCATGTTGATGCTGTGTTACAAAATTCTTTCGCTCCAGATGTTCCACTAGCTTTCTTCGCACAATCTTCTCCATCAACTTGCATGGTATGCAGGTTAGGGACACTGGTCTGTAATTCAGTGCCTCCTGTCTATCCCCTTTCTTGTATATCGGGACTACGTTAGCTGCTTTCCAAATTTCTGGCAGTTCCCCTGTTGCCAGTGATTTGTTATACACCATGGAGAGCGGGAGGCACAGTTCTTCTGCTCCTTCCTTTAGTATCCAAGGGGAGATTCCATCTGGGCCTATAGCCTTTGTCACATCCAATTCTAGTAAACACTTCCTTACTTCCCCGCTGGTAATCTCAAACTCTTCCAGTGGTTCCTGGTTAGCTATTCCCTCTCTTATCTCTGGGATTTCTCCTTGCTCCAAGGTGAAGACCTCCTGGAATTTCTTATTCAGTTCCTCACACACTTCCTTGTCGTTTGTAGTGAATCCTTCTGCCCCTAACCTTAATTTCATAACCTGTTCCTTTACTGTTGTTTTTCTCCTGATGTGGCTATGCAGCAATTTAGGCTGAGTCTTTGCCTTGCTTGCGATGTCATTTTCGTATTGTCTTTCTGCCTCTCTTCTCATCCTAACATATTCATTCCTGGCATTCTGGTATCTTTCTCTGCTCTCCAGTGTCCTGATATTCCTATAGTTTCTCCATGCCCTTTTACTTTGCTGCTTAGCTAGCCTACATCTCTGATTAAACCATGGGTTTCTCATCTTCATTTCACTGTTTTCCTTTTGGACTGGGACAAACTTGTTTGCTGCATCCTTGCATTTTTGCGTGATGTATTCCATCATATCTTCGGCCGTCTTTTCCCTGAGCTCTGTTTCCCATGCTATATCTGCTAGGCATTTTCTTATCTCCTCATAGTTTCCCTTTCGGTATGCTAACCTTTTGGTTTCGGTATCCCTTCTCGAGTTCAATAACCCTTCTTCAATCAGGTACTCAAACACCAATACACTGTGGTCGCTCATTCCTACTGGGTCCTCAAAACTGATTTCTCTTATGTCAGAGTCGTTCAGGGTGAAAACCAGGTCGAGTCTCGCTGGTTCGTCGTTTCCTCTCATCCTTGTGGGTTCACTGACATGCTGGGTTAAGAAGTTTCTAGTCGCCACCTCCAGTAGTTTGGCTCTCCACGTATCCTCGCCTCCATGCGGTTCTTTGTTCTCCCAATCAATCCTGCCGTGATTGTAGTCCCCCATGATGAGCAGGTGGGATCTATTTCTACAGGCAGAAGAGGCTGCCCTCTCAATTATAGTGTTAACTGCCATGTTGTGTGTGTGTGTGTGTGTGTGTGTGTGTGTGTGTGTGTGTGTGTGTGTGTGTGTGTGTGTGTGTGTGTGTGTGTGTGTGTGTGTGTGTGTGTGTGTGTGTGTGTACTCACCTAGTTGTGTCTGCAGGATCGACCATTGACTCTTGGATCCCGCCTTTCGAGCATCGGTTGTTTACAGCAATGACTCCGGTCCTATTTCCCTATCACACCTGGTTTTAAAATTATGAATAATATTTGATCCACAACCTGTTCCTTAAGTGCATTCCATTTTCCCACTACTCTCACTCTAAAAGAAAACTTCCTAACATCTTTGTGACTCATCTGAGTTTCAAGCTTCCACCCATGTCCCCTCGTTCTGTTACTATTCCGTGTGAACATTTCGTGTATGTCCACTCTGTCAATCCCTCTGAGTATTTTATACGTTCCTATCATGTCCCCCCCTCTTCCTTCTTCTTTCTAGTGTCGTAAGGCACAGTTCCCTCAGGCGCTCCTCATACCCCATCCCTCGTAACTCTGGGACGAGTCTCGTTGCAAACCTCTGAACTTTTTCCAGTTTCTTTATGTGCTTCTTCAGATGGGGACTCCATGATGAGGCGGCATACTCTAAGACCGGCCTCTCGTAGGCAGTGTAAAGCTCCCTAAATGCCTCCTTACTTAGGTTTCTGAATGATGTTCTAACTTTTGCTAGTGTAGAGTACGCTGCTGTCGTTATCCTATTTATATGTGCCTCAGGAGATAGATTAGGTGTTACGACCACACCCAGGTCTCTTTCTCGCATCGTCACAGGTAGGCTGTTCCCCTTCATTGTGTACTGTCCCTTTGGTCTCCTATCTCCTAGTCCCATTTCCATAACTTTACATTTGCTCGTGTTGAATTCCAGTAGCCATTTCTCTGGCCATCTCTGCAACCTGTTCAGGTCCTCTTGGAGGATCCTGCAATCCTCATCTGTCACAACTCTTCTCATCAACTTTGCGTCATCTGCAAACATCGACATGTAGGACTCTACGCCTGTAAACATGTCGTTAACATATACTAGAAATAGAATTGGTCCCAGTACCGATCCTTGTGGTACTCCACTTGTTACTGTTCGCCAGTCCGACTTCTCGCCCCTTACTAGAACTCTTTGGCTCCTTCCTGTTAGGTAGTTCTTTATCCATGCTAGGACCTTTCCCCCCACCCCCGCCTGCCTCTCGAGTTTGAACAGCAGTCTCATGTGCGGAACTGAATCAAAGGCTTTTTGGCAGTTCAGAAATATGCAGTCTGCCCAACCATTTCTGTCCTGTCTTATCCTCGTTATTTTATCATAGAATTCCAGAAGGTTTGTTAGGCACGATTTCCCTGTCCAGAACCCATGTTGATGTTTGTTCACAAACCTAATGTTCTCCAGGTGTGCAACCAGTCGTAGCCTAATTATTCTTTCCAGTATTTTGCAGGGGATGCTTGTCAGTGATACAGGTCTATATTTAAGTGCCTCCTCCCTATCGCCTTTCTTGGAGATAGGCACGACATTTGCCTTCTTCCAGTAACTGGGCAATTCTCCCGACATAAGTGACTCATTAAAGATCATTGCCTGGCCTGCGCTGCTTCTTGTGGTATCCACGGTGATACTTTGTCTGGTCCAACTGCTTTAGTTGCATCTAGAGTTGTCAACTGTTTCATTACCTCCTCTGCTGTCACCTCTATATATGTTAGTCTTTCATCTAGGGTAACCCCTTCCAACAATGGGAGCTGCTCAAGCTCGGTAGTGAACACTTCATGGAAACTGGCATTCAGTGCCTCGCAGATTTCCTTGTCACTTTCAGTATATGCCCCCTCTGTTTTCCTTAGTCTTGTCACTTGGTCGTTCACCGACATTATTCTTCTTATATGGCTGTGTAGTAACTTAGGTTGCTTTTTCACTTTGATTGCAATATCGTTCTCATAGTCCCTTTCCGATGTTCGTCTTATGTTAATGTAATCGTTCCTAGCTCTGTTGCATCTGATCCTGTTGTCCCTCTGTTCT